TGAATTCAAGCAGTTGGAAACTGATTGTGTTAGTCTCAAAGAGTCTGATGCTTGGCCCGCAGAGGTAAGGTTCCTGGGATAATTGATGTTAAAATTTTGCTCGATTAAACGCTCGGCTATGTGTATAATCTTTCCTTTTGTGTACATTTTGTATTAGCCACAAGATGCTTATGGTTTGGAAAAACTTGCTACCGAGGAGTTGTGCAAGCATTACACTAATGATTTTGGAATTGAATGCCGAGTTGGAAGGTTCCACAACATTTATGGTCCATTTGGCACCTGGAAAGGTAACAACATATAAATAAAGCCTCTTATTTGGTGGAATGTTTATGTTGACCTACATACACTTAGAATGAACAAACATGCCTTTTGCTTTATTCGGAACCAAGAGTGAAATAAACTTTAAGTGATTGCTATTTCATCATTAAACAATTCATAATAATGCTTTTTATTTTGAATATATTGCACTATAATATCTCTTACCTGGTTGGTTTAAATAATGTATAGGTGGTCGGGAGAAGGCTCCAGCTGCTTTTTGCAGGAAGGCTATTACTTCTACTGACAAGTTTGAGATGTGGGGTGATGGGTTGCAGACTCGATCCTTCACCTTCATTGATGAATGTGTGGAAGGTGTTCTTAGGTGAGTGCTTACAAATTGAGTATTCCATGTGATACTGAACCTTTAAGAGTTTTAGACATTCCTCAATGGCCGAGTCATTGTATGCTAATGTGGTTGACTTCTAGGAATATGCTGGTAAAAGCTTTCAGAATTGTGTTTTGGATGGGTTCTTCAGAATTCTTTTCCTGCAAAATATGCTTTGTTTTGTCATAAATGGTGCTTTGGTTTGTTTCGATTGCCAAAGAACACAAGTTGAAAGTGGCTGAATATGTAAATTTGTGCTGTAGCTGCCTAAATTTGGTAGAATTTTAAGCACTATTGAAAAACCAAAAAAAAAAAAAGAAGGTAGAATTCTAAGCTGCACAGAATTAACTTGTTATGGTTCCTGCTTTTACTACCTTTATGTATTATCTGTGCAGTATTAATTTTACTGAACTAAGTAAATTCATTATAGATTGACCAAGTCAGACTTCCGAGAGCCAGTGAATATCGGAAGTGATGAGATGGTTAGCATGAATGAGATGGCCGAGATTGTTTTGAGCTTTGAGGATAGGAAACTTCCAATCCAGCATATTCCTGGCCCAGAGGGTGTCCGTGGTCGTAACTCTGATAACACTCTGATTAAAGAAAAGCTTGGCTGGTCTCCAACCATGAGGTTAAAGGTAAATTTCATGAATTTCCTAACTCATAAGCTTATCATTGTGATTGGTTCTTTTATAATTCTATCGTTATCTGTGACCATTGAAAGGCTCAAACCATACCTGATCCTCTTAATCGGATGTTATTATAGGATGGGCTAAGGATAACATACAAATGGATCAAGGAAGAGATCGAAAAAGAAAAGACTAAAGGTGTGGACCTGTCAGTTTATGGGTCATCAAAGGTGGTGACCACCCAAGCTCCAGTTCAGCTAGGCTCTCTACGTGCTGCTGATGGCAAGGAATGATGCAATTTTTTTCAAGTGAGCAGAGAAGCCGTCAACTGTTTTAGATTGTATATGGGCTTCGCCTCTGCTTTATAGATAGTCATATGCCTTTTTTTGCTATATGCTTAGAAGTGATTTTTGTAACTGTTTTTATTAAGTGTTCTTCTTGACCGAAATATGGCATTATTAATGCAGCAACAATACTCTGTATTATGTTCATCATAAGTTGGGTAGCATTACTGATAAAAGTGTAAAACCAATATTAAGAGTGTTGTAATAGAGCATTATTATTTTTATCATTTTCAGGTCATTTCAGAACCTGAAACTCCTATGGATATACTGTATGAAATTTTGGACATGGTTATCATTCAGTGTTAGGCAATTTGTGATTGTTCAGCACAAGCTTTAATGGTGGCCGTGGAAGACTAAAACTGGCGCCTTATTTGAGTTTTCGAAAATTCAAAGCAGTTGATCAACTGTGATGGTTGGCCTCGTGGTGACACTGATTTAATGGGAATATGCTGGTAAAGTGCTAATAAAAGGATCACAATACCAACTCATTTTTGGTACTTTTGTGACAAGAATAGGACATCTTTGTCATGTTTTCAACTTTTTGGTTTGGTCCCTTTATAATCATGTGGAAGCCCCACATCCACTAGACTTCAATGTTAGCAATGGTCGAACAAGTGAGATCGTGTTTGCTGGAAATTGTGTAATTTGGAGAAGAATATACCGTTACAACTTGTTGGTTGGAGGTATGATGTGTTTATGATTATGAATGAACTTATTCTTATCGTCATTATCTTTACCATTTTGCTTCACTCTTGTTCATTTGGTGTAGGGCCGCCTAAATTATTTCAAGATTTTATATTTCTTTGGAGGACATTTGGTATGTGCGAATGAGACTTTGAGAATTAGAGGTGGATGATTGGGACAAATAAGATATTTGGTGATTCATAGAAACGCATTTAGGAAACACTCTGTATACTACATATTACAAATTTATAAAATTAGCCTCTCCTTTTTATTACCAATGGCTATTGGCAACTTTGTCATTACACTCACACAATACATGTCTTGTTACACCAACCTCCACATATGTTTTTAAAGGAATACAAGACCATTATTCCTAATCCTCTTTGGCCCTTTCCACTTACACTTCTATTAACTATTCTCATGTAAATTTTTTTTTCTAATAGGAATATAAGTCCTTTATTCCTAATCCTCTTTGTCAATTTCCCTGTATTCTAGCGTAACAAACATGAGATTTTTTTTTACAACGAGATTAACACTCTCATTTATATCCTCAATATCCTTGTGCCCAACTCCTCTTTGATGCCGATACGGTGAATTGATCTCATTGTTGGATAATTTTGAAGGTGTTTTAGACTTTTATGCTATGTTTGGATAACAAAAAATGGAAGGGAAGGGAAAGGGAGGGAGAAAAACTTCCTTGTTTGGATAATATGTTGGGGGAGGGAAGGGGAGGGGGAGGGGGAGGGGGAGGGGGTGGAAGGGATCCATTTTCCCTCCTCCTTTAATAAAGACCATCCCTTCAAAATTGGAGAGATTTGGAGGGAAAATGGAGCTCATCATTTCCTCCACTTTCCCTTCCTTCCCCTTCCTCCTATTTCCCTCCCTTCCATTTCCCCTCTAATTTGTTATCCAAACATAACATTAGTGCAAGTCGATTATAGTGATTATGAACTCAAAATTAAGAACAAGGGAAGGTTTTTTTAAAAATAAGGATCTCCATGAAAAAATGTCCTCATTTGGAATCTTCCATTTTTATCATATGAAATATTGAACAACTTTGCCCTTATAAGCATATGTTAATTGCAGTCTTGTTCTTTTTTTTTTTTTTTTACCCAAAAGTGTGTCCTAGTAACAAGAATGTTTATTATAATTTAATTATACTAAATTACGTGAGATTTTAAAATAAGCACTTAATTTTGGAACATCCTGTTAAAAATACTGAAATACAAGCTAGGTACTTAAAAAGGACAAAGGAAAGATGATTTATAATAAGGATTCTCTAATGTCTGTCCATGAAATCATGAATGATGAATGCACAATAAGGGTCTGTTCTCTTTAGCTTAATTTCGGTTCAGTTCATTTTCAATCAGTTCAGTTCATAATTTTCTTCTCTCATAGAAATTTCATTTAAGTTCTGTTTAGTTCATTTCAGTTCATCACCAATTAGTTCAGTTTAGTTCAGCTCAATTCTGTAAATTAGAACAAGCCCTAAGACTTGAAAGATTTTATAGCTCTAATAACCTTAAAAAGAAATTATAAAAATTCATCATTATTTATAATGACCTTTGAGTCTATGACTATGAGAATTCTAATTTATCTTTAAGGTTCACTGTACCACTTCTTATTTATAATTTGAAAAGAGTACCCTTTTTTTTTTTTTTGAAACTAGTACCTTTTTTTTAAGGTAAGGAGAAGGGTCCTACTCAACTGGAACCTCTTACAAGTCAAATTAATTAAGGTTAGAGTACTTAAGTTTTTTCAGAGTGGTATTTTGGTGAAAATTTCATCATACACCCAGGTGTATGGTACACCCTGTCAAAATACATGATTTATAAAACCGCGGAAAGAACATTGTATACAAATACAAAGTACACAAGCAAAAAAAAAAAAAGAAGAAGAAGAAGAAGAAGAAGAAGAAGAAGATTCTTATCTTAGCTTGATTTAAAAGATTGATTTGTTATTTTTATTTCTTGATTCATTATTTACATTCCATATTACTTTTGATAAACAAAATTTCATTTTTATTGTAAAAAGAAAGAAATTGGGTTTATAGAGAGAGACTATGGTAAATTTTGAATTTCAAAGTGAATTAATGTTATTTCGGAGTTGATTTTATCATTTAGATGATCATTTAATTGAAAGATCAATGTAATACACAAATTCGTTGTTGAGAGAAAAAGGTATTTTCAAATATTTTTTGTTATCAATTTTTCTGTATTGGTGTTATTTTCTAAGGTTGAAGATGATGTTCTTCCTATTTTGATGAATGTTCTTTTATCATTTTTTTAATTGCCATGAAATATGTTTTATAAGTCTGATCAATATGTTCTTTGAGTCTAAAATATATGTTCTTTACAATACAAACAATGTTCTTTAAGGTAATATATATATATTAATAATGTTCTTTGGTTATAATAATACAAATTATATTCTTTGGGTATAATAATACAAATTATGTTCTTTTTGCTTATACAATATGTTCTTATATTTTGAATTTTGAATTTTTGAAATTTAAGAAAGGAATCTTGAATTATATTTGTGTGAAATTAATTTTAGATAGAAGTTTAAATATGTTCTAATTCAAATGCAATATTTTGAAATAGTTTGACATTAAATTATTGGTAAAACACAATTCATAATTATGTTTTACTTTTTTGATAATAAGTATCTCATAATATACTGTGTTCCCAGTAACTTGCTGTCTCGGCTCCCTTAGCAATGGCCAAGGATGATGATCAATCAAACACACCTCCTCCTCCTCCACCCTCTAACGACTACCACCCTGCAAACTCCATCAGCAATATCAGGAACGAAGTTCCGGAAATTCTTGACCGTGACAAAGGGAATTATGGTAGTTGGGTTGAACTCTTCGAGATACATTGTCATTCCTGCAATGTTATCGATCATATAGATCCCAAATCACCTCGTCCTACGGACCTCACCTCGGCGCAGTGGAACCGCCTTGACTCAATTGTGAAAAAGTGGATTTATAATACGATTTCTGCAGACCTACGAAGCACGGTGTATTACAAGAACGCTACGGCACAGGAAACTTGGGATAGGCTCGCTAATATTTTTCAAGATAACGGAGAAATTCGTGCTATCTATCTTGAAAATCAATTTAACAATCTTTTTGTTGAGAATTTTCCAGATGTGTCTTCTTATTGTCAGAAGTTGAAGGAACTCAAAGATCAACTAGCCAACGTTGGTCAGCCCGTGTCCGAAAGAACTTTGGTGTTAAGTCTTTGTGCAGGATTAATTGACTCAAATTATGATGGCGTGGCTCAGTCCATCACTCAAATTTGCCCTCTTCCCGGATTTGATGAAGCAAGATCAAGAATTTTGTTAGAAGAGTCTCGTAAATCGGCAAAAGACAACTTCGGGCAAGCTTTTCTTACGCACACAAACAACACCACCACCACTACCACCGCGGAAGCCGCCCAGCAGCAGCAACAGCCACCGCAACAGCACGACAGGGGTGGTGGTGGCGGTGGACGTGGCAGCAGCAGCAAAGGGCGGGGTGGCAAACCCAAAGGCAAGGGCAGAGGCCGTGGTCAGCAACAGCAGAACCAAACGGCCCAGGCCCAGCCACCCCACCCAACCAAAAAGGCCTAACACAGCAGCAACTCTGGGCCAGTTTTCAGCAGTGGGCTCAGCATCAGACTTGGGCCAGACTGCCACCTCCTTTCCCAGTCCAGCAGCACCAGCAGTCCATCCTTGGACAGCCCAGACCACAGTAGGCCTATTCGTCCCAATACGGACAACCCATGACTCCGACAGACTTGTCTTCTTCATTCTCTACAATGACACTTCCAAATCCCGACAATCAGTGGTACGTGGATTCGGGTGCCACATCTCACATAACGAACAATGCTGGTAATCTCTTACCCCTGTTTAATTTAAGCACTAAAAATCATATTTTAGTTGGTAATGGTCATCGTATTCCCATAACAGGTTATGGTCATGGCTCCCTTCCCCACCCTAAAACACCTCTCATCCTTCGTGATGTCCTCCTTGCACCTCAACTCATTAAGAACCTTATTTCAGTTCGTAAATTTACTATTGATAATTTCGTGTCTATTGAGTTTGATCCTTTTGGTTTTTCTGTGAAGGATCTTCGTACGGGGAGACTAATAACGAGATGTGATAGTTCGGGAGATCTATATCCAGTCAAAACCACCAAGTTCACTCCGTCAACCTGTCTTGCTACTACCCTCACTGTTGTTTCCCCATCTACTTGGCATAGTCGTCTAGGACATCCTGGAGCTCAAGTTTTTAGCTTTCTTAAGTCTAAAAATTATATTTATTGTAATAAGGAGCATGACTCCCAGTTTTGCAATTCATGTCAATTAGGAAAACATACTCGACTTCCCTTTGATAATTCTAATAACACTACTATTTGTGCTTTTGATATTATACATGCCGATTTATGGACTTCTCCTATTCGTAGTGCTCAAGGTCACATATACTATCTAGTCTTATTAGATGATCATACTCACTTTGTGTGGACCATTCCTTTAAAATACAAGTCTCAAGCTTTCCAATCTTTTATCAATTTCCGAAAATATGTTGAAACCCGATTTGAGCGTCAAATTAAAAGTTTTCAATGTGATCATGGTAGGGAATTTGATAATGACCCTTTTAAGCAAAAATGTATTGACCATGGAATGCTTTTCCGATTTTCTTGTCCACACACTTCTTCACAAAATGGTAAAGCTGAACGTATGATTCACATTCTTAATAATATTAAACGTACTATTCTTTTTCATGCGTCTCTCCCCCCCCCCCCCTCGTATTGGTTTTATGCTCTTGAAACGGCCACTTATCTTCTAAATATTTTGCCCACAAAAGCACTTAAAAACAATACATCTGTTTTAGCCTTGTTTGGAAAAACTCCTTCGTATAATCACATCCGTGTCTTTGGGTGCCTCTGTTTTCCTAATCTATCTGCTACAGCTCCACATAAATTAGCTCCTAGATCTACGCCATGTGTGTTTTTGGGTTATCCCATTGACCATAGAGGGTATAGATGTCTTGATCTCACCACAAATAAAATAATCATATCGCGTCATGTCACCTTTGATGAAGCAACTTTCCCGTTCCGAAATTTAGCTCATTTCCGAAAGCATGATTCTGATTTTTTAGGTGATGATACACCCTCACCCTATTTGTTGCATCCCATACTTCACTTTCCGCAACAAACTAACCCAAACACTCCTCACTCACAAACCGGCCCAGCACCTTCTCTCACCCCACAAACCGGCCCAACAGCTTTCAGCCCACTTCATGCTCCAGCAAGCCCAGTCAGCCCACAAATGCACCCTGCCCAGCCATTCTCTCTTGTCCAGCAGGCTACTCCGCAGGCAGGCTGCGGCAGCCCAGCGTCAGCCGCGGGTAGCCCGCGGACCCCACTGCCGCCTACACCACCCTCGTCCAGCAGCGCCACCACGCCCACCCATGCTTACTCCCCGCCACCTATGCGTGGCATTCCGCCCATACAACCCACCCGACCACCACCTCCTTCACCCCGAGTCACCCGTAGTCAATGGGGCATTTTAAAGCCTAATCCGAAATATTGCAACCTTACCGTTCAACCTTCGGGTCCTCACCATCATAAATCACCACTTCCAAAATCCTATAAACAAGCTTTAAATGACCATAATTGGAATGCGGCGATGAATGATGAATATAGTGCTTTAATTAAGACAGTGACATGAGAATTGGTGCCTAGGCCTGCGGGGGTGAATATTGTTAATTGTATGTGGCTATTTAAGCATAAATACAAGTCTAATGGTGAACTTGAAAGGCACAAAGCTCGTCTTGTATGTGATGGCAGGTCGCAGGAAATTGGTGTGGATTGTGATGAGACTTTCAGTCCGGTAGTTAAACCGGCCACTATTCGCACTGTTCTCAGTTTAGCTTTGGCTAAAAAGTGGTCGATACATCAATTAGATGTCAAAAATGCGTTTTTACATGGTGACTTGCAGGAAACTGTTTATATGCACCAACCTCCGGGTTTTGTTGATCAGAAAGCACCCACTCATGTTTGTCGACTCCGCAGGGCTCTCTATGGTTTGAAACAAGCTCCCAGAGCTTGGTGTCAACGCTTTGCAAATTTTCTCATTAAATTGGGTTTTGTTGTCTCTCAGAGTGACAACTCTCTGTTTACTTTTCGACAGGGTGATGATATGGCATATTTGCTTCTATATGTTGATGATATTATATTAAGTACCTCCTCTGATAAGTTGTGTGCAGGGATCATCTCTCAGTTACAAACTGAGTTCCCTATGACTGATTTGGGTCCGTTGAGTTATTTTTTAGGGATAGCGGTAACCCGTACTCCCTCTTATCTACTACTTTCATAGGAAAAGTATGCACAGGAGATTTTAGAGCGTGCAGGTATGGGCTCATGTAAACCTGCAGCCACTCCAGTTGACACTAAGTCAAAACTTAGTGCAGATGCAGGACCACCAGTTCGGGATCCGACTTTGTATCGCAGTTTAGCAGGTGCTCTTCAGTACCTCACTTTCACTAGGCCGGATATTGCCTATGCGGTACAACAGGTGTGTCTTTTTATGCATGATCCTCGGGAACCTCACTTTGAGGCATTGAAACATATTTTGCGTTATATTCAGGGTACTGTTGATCACGGCTTACATTTATATCCGACTATTTCTCATCGACTTATTACTTACACTGACGCTGACTGGGGAGGTTGTCCCGCCGATACCCGACGTTCCACATCGGGATATTGTTGTTTCCTTGGGGACAACCTCGTGTCTTGGTCATCTAAGCGTCAGCATACTTTGTCTAAGTCGAGTGCAGAAGCGGAATATCGAGGCGTCGCAAATGTTGTCTCAGAGGCATGTTGGCTTCGTAATCTTTTACTAGAGTTGCATTGTCCTCTACGGCAGACTACTATTGTTTATTGTGATAATGTCAGTGCTATCTACCTTTCTGGCAACCCGGTACAACACCAACGCACCAAACATGTGGAGATGGATATTCATTTTGTTCGAGAAAAGGTTGCTTTGGGACAAGTTTGGGTTCTGCATGTTCCTACTAGATATCAGTTTGCAGACATTTTCACCAACGACCTACCACGAGATTTATTTCTGGAATTTAGGTCCAGTCTTAGCGTACGCCCTCCTCCCGCTACGACTGCGGGGTTGTGATAGATATTATAGGATTATTATAATATTTGTCGCAGAGTAGGATATATTTGTATATATTTGTGATATAGTTTGTATTCTTATCATACTAGGTTTCCTAACAAGATTAGGACTAGTATTGTAACACTATATATATTATTCAATGGTACACACTCCAACCCAAGGAGTTTTTCCCGAAATCTAACAATTATAATATAAGTAAGATGGGGACCATGAAAGAGAAAGAATGTGAGGGAGAGTAGATATTTTTATTATATAAGTGGAGACCATAGAGGAGAGAGAAATGATAAAATAATTTAAGTGGGGTTTAAAGTAAGAGAGAGAATTGATAAAATAGAGTATAAAGTTTTCAAATAAGGAAGTGATGCATTTAAAAAAAAACAACCATAAAAGGGAAGTGATGCATATAAAAAAAACGGAGGGAGTAAAATACAATGTCTTCGATGGATAAATTATCAATATAAGGCTCCTTGAACTTTTCCTAAAAAAAAATACTAGTAAGATTTTGAAGTATCCACATTTAATTTTCCTCAAAAAAAAAAAAAAAAAAAAAAAAATTACTAGTAAGATTTTGAAGTATCCATATTTAATTTTCCTTGCATTTATGAACTTAATATCCAAAATCCAAATAGATTTCATGCGTACGAAAGGTGATTCACATATTAAAAGACTACTTCATATTTTATAATATTCACTTGTTCCTTAGCTTCAATTCATCACCTTTCAATCTTAACACCACTATAAATAACACAAAAATTGGGATTAGAAAAATAAAAAGAGCTAAATATTGCTTCATAAAAAAATAACACCAAAAAGAAAGATGTTGAAGTTTTTATTAATCCTAATATTATCTTTAATAACCATAGAACAACCCTTGGTGATGGGTTTTAGTTTGCTAAAAGTACGTTATTGGGTGCAAATAGAGAACAAATTAAGGAAAGATGCTCTTGATGTTCATTGTATGGGTGATGCTGGTGCTCACCATGAAGATCTAGGGCTTGTAAAAGTTCCAAATAGTGGTAATTTCAATTGGACATTCAAAAGTCGTTTTTGGATGCAATTAAAATATCGCTGTAATTTGACATGGCCTAATCACGGTCGTAAAGAAATTATAGCTTTCTATGACGAGAGAAAGTTTGTAGATAAGCGTTGTGGTGGGCGTCACTGTTTTTGGAAAGCAACTGATGATGGGATATATTTGTATCATATTCAGAAAAAGAAATATATTTTTGCGGAAACTTGGGATAAGCTTTCCTATAACTATAATTAGTCTGTAATGAATATTGAATTATCAAAATAAAGTTAATAAAGTTATTGCTTGATACAATATATATTACTCATATCTTATTTATAAGAAAAGAAAGAAAAAAAATACTTCATAGTCCCTTAGTAGTATATTTTATTTTTTAGTTATGGTTTTTTAAATTATTAGTTACGAATTTGAAGTTGTTAGTTA